GTTGGGGGAAATCTACCAAAGCTAGGCAGATAGATAGACTCCTTTCCCGCTGCTAAGGGAGAGCAAGAAAGAAAATCAAATGATTGTTTTTTAACCAGCGCCCTCTTTTGGGTATGCAGGTACTAAGAGCCCTCTCACTACCAACCAGCGGACATCATCTGGCTGGGTCTTGCCGGTATCAACAACGAGGAAGAAACAACCAGAAACAGCAACTAACTATGGCTCTTGGCCCAGACAACGTCCTAGGCGTAGGGGAGATCGGAGCAACAGGGAACGCCTAGACGACGTTTTTCTTCCTGGGCTGCAGTAAGTAGATCGAGAGGTCGTTCCGCCCCTTGTCCCCGAATATGGGGAATATGTTCTCATAAAATCTTGCTCCAATCTGACCTAGCTGGCGAGCGATCCCAGTTCGCGACAGAGAACAAGACAGCAAGCGAGCGTACTTTTGTTCGCTTCTTCTCCACCAAGCACGGAAGTTTAAGGATAACTGTAGGTCGGTGGCTACCTAAGGAAACTCCGATTCGATCCGCCCCCCGGCTGGGAGGCATCTACCTCATCCCGATCACAAGGAGAGGTTCACTATGATGGGGGGTACTTTTTTTTCCCTTAAGGAAAAAATGAAATGCATAGGGGACCATCCTTTTGTTGCGGCATGCTCCTCAGATTTACGGATTCGCAGGGGGCCTCAGGCCCTACTTAGTTGACTGATAATGACAAAGGCTTGCGAAACTAAGTAGGGCCTTTTCCTTTTTGTTTGAATAACCCATTCTCATTATCTTTAATAAGTAAAGTAGGCAAACCTATAGGTCCTTAGTAGCGTTGACAAAGAAGAAGGAGCCGGTTAAAAGAAAGCGAATCTTTCCATTTTTCTTATAGTTTCTATTATATAATAATAGAAAATAGAAAGAAATTTCTTATTCTTATATATAGGCCAGCTTGACAAGCAACCCTTCCTCTTGATCTGAGGTGCGAAGAGAAAGATTTCTTTTTTATGACTTCCACTTATCGATCCCGGCCCAGAAAAGTGACCGACCAGGGCAGGGCCCTATTGATAAATGAAAGAAAGGGTTTATGAGCCCTAGCCCTGTAAGCCCACACCTGTGTAGAGTAGATCGTTCAACACCTGCGGCACAAACCCATTTTGAACCTATTGGTCCTAGTATCATAGGCGACCGAACGGCCGCCCCCTAATTACTAGACCAACCTGCTATAATAATTCCATAAACACCTAGCGAAGATATGGCAAACAAATAAAGTAGTCCTATGTTCGGATCTGACAATACCATACCATAATCAAAAGGTACAACGGCCCGAGCGACCAGACTTAACATAAATGTAGCCACTGGAGCCATTCTAAAAAGGGAGAAATTAGCACTACTTGGTGAAATAGGTTCTTTTAGAATCAATTTCAAACCATCTGCTAGAGGTTGTAACAATCCAAACGATCCCACTACATCAGGACCCTTTCGACGTTGCACAAAAGCCATTACTTTACGTTCAGCTAGCACTAAAAAGGCTACTCCTAGTAGAAGTGGTAGAATTATTCCAAGTATTTCAGCTGGAACAGCTATGTACATTTTTTTTTCTATTCACTCATGATCTGGCCTGGTCGACCCAATCATGATATTGAAGGAGGGGACCTTTTCTCGAAAAAAAAAATTCTTGCAACTACGAAAACCACAACACAAGCACTCCTTTTCCATTCATTCTATCTAAGAAAAAGAATTTAGCATAGACCACGACCCCCCCATCTTTTCATTTCTTTATCTATATGAAACCAAATGGGCGAGTCTTTATTATTGATTGGGGCCCTGAACTCAATGAGAGTGGGGATTCGCTCCTCTTCGGGCAACTCGTCCACGTCTGCAAGATACCTGACGGCGTCTACGAATTTCTCGAGCGTGAGCTCGCCCTGCGCTCCTGCCTGACGGACAACAAGTTCTTTTGCCTGCCCACAGATTTCTTGCAAGAGCCTGCCACACTGGGCGGCCTTCTCTTCAGTCTCCCGATGCAATTGGGCTATTTCCGCAGGAGAAAGGCCTACTGGAATCTCGTTGAGGTCTGGAAGCGCAGGTGCAGGATCCGCGCAAAAGGCTATTGAAGGGGCGGCGAATGCTGGAAAAGCTAAAGCAAACCAGAAAGGATTTTGATTCAAAATCGTACTTGTGTTTTTAGAAAAAGAAAATCATAAGGAAACATTATGATTATGAAAAGAAAAATCTTACTAAAGAGAGAAGTCTATTAGACAATAAAGTACATATACTATATACACTATATACGATATTCTTAGAAAAAACCTCAGGATTAAATAAAAGAAAGATATATACTAAAAACAAACTATAATGATATTCAACACTTTATGGGTGTTGACCCAAGTAGGCCTAGGCCAAGACAAGACACCTTCCTTCACTCTGCAATAGCCCGACGACCCCTCTCTTCACAAGTAGGCTTGGCGCTTAGTCGATTTGAAAGGCTGGAAAGATGCAAGAAGACTGAGGAGGCGCTGGAGTGAAGTGATTCCGGGGCTGGGATCACGAACGGGAATCTAAATAGAAAAGAAGGCTAAGGTCGAGATAGTCTTGGCTAAGCAATTCATCTACCTTCTTTGTGAGGTATTATTATTCTAATTCACATTATTCTTTTAGGTAATAATCGCCTTATTTCTGTCTTATTTCTTTCTTGTAGTACTGTCGGTCTAAGGAGAGGAATGGAAGTAGTCGTCTTGCTTCTTTTCTTTGGATCCGCTTATGTCTCTACTTCGCTTGATTCTCATGCCAGTGGACTCCATGCTCTGTTTTTGGCCTTATTAGCTTGATTTCATAAGTGAGCATTTTAAATTGAATAGATAGTGAGAAAAGCGCCTTTCGTGATTCAAGTAGTAAGCTCGGATTCATGATTGAGAAAGAAATCTTCCAAGCGCGGCTTTAGCTGAATCTATTATAGGGTAGGCTCTTTGGATAGATTGCCTTAAGGCGATGAAGGCCCACATATTTTGAATCTCGGCTCCCCTCAAGGAAAAAGCGGGATACTTAGCTGAAAGGGTGAACAAGGCCGAGCGCCTTCAAAGGTTGCTCCAGTCGCCTGAAGCCTTGTGGATTGATTGTGGGGGATTTAGGCGTGTCACGCCAACCATCTTCCAGTTCCTGGATAATCGTTCCCGGATAATGCTTGCCGCAGGGGCTAACCCTATCTTCGCGCATACTTCCTTGGTTGTCTGGGAGTTGAATCAGAAGCATCGAATGAAAGGTTCTTTCCAAGACCATCTGCTATTGAATCAGCTGCTGTTGCCGGGCGAGATTCTATCTTTTCCTTGTAGTCCACGGGATTTTACTCTGGGGAAGCTCATTCCTTGGATGGATCATAACTTATACAAAGGATAGTCTCTGTAAGAAGGACCAAAGCGCACTGAAAGAACCTACCGATTCTTGCCAGTCATAACAACCAGAACGGGTTAGCCTTCGTTTGCCCCATTGGCGAAGTCATAAGTTGTGGTGAATCCGTGTCGCTACTATAAAGTGCTTTCCATAGTTCAATAGAGAAAAGAGAGAAGAGCAGGCCGATTTCCTTTACTTTATTATTAAACTTAAACAAAGAATCCTTTGACTTTTAATGCCGAAACCTTGAAAGCAAGGAAGGGCCTCTTTCCATCCATAGAATCTCTTCCTTATGCTAGCACTTTCAGCTATCTTTCTTAACCTGCTTCTATCAAAGCAGCTTGTAAACTCC